ATCACAAACTGGTAAAAATCTGAATTAAACTGAAATTTTCAGATTAATCTGAAATTACAGTTTGATTATATAAAGAATCTGCAATTTATATACGAAACTCTAGGAAAATCACAAAAAATCGTGAATTTCTCTTTGAAATTCGCAAAAATTTGCAAAATTTGATGAGTAATTGCAAAAATTTGTGATTCTTCAAGATTTTCACATTTTTTTTTGTGAAATTTGAAGAGAAATCACAATATTTTGTGACTTTCTAAAAGTTTCGCGATATTTTTGCAAAATTCTAAGAGAAATTGCAAAAACTTGTGATTCTTCAAGATATTCGCAATTTTTTTGCGATCCTCTAAAAGTTTCACATATAATCGAACTAAACTTTCAGATTAATTTGAAATTATTAGTTCAGTTCAGATTTTTTTCAATTCAAATTAGAATTATAATCTGAAAAAAATCTGAACTGAATTGAAAATTTTCAGATTGATTTTTATGCAATCTGAAACTGATTTGAATTGAACTGATCTGAAAAATCTTCAGATTAATCTAAACCATTTGAAGCTTTAATAATTACAGTATTAGTATTAGTTTATTTTTTAATAAGAATTTGAATCTCTTCTATATTTATTTTTTTCTTTAGAATGTGCTATTAGTGATAATCTGTATGTGTTACTAAATAACTACGTTAATCATAATCACTAATAATTTTTATAAAAGAGTGATCACTATTATTACTGATTTTACTATTAATACAGCTTTTATGTTTTATTTATTATATTTATTTTATCATTTATCATTATTTTATTTACTATCATCATTATTAATGTTAAATTATTATTTTTATTATATTTAATATCTCTTTCTTATTTATATCTTATATAAGTATCCTGTATCATCACTTTAATAAAAAAAGATAAGTTTCTATCATATAATTGAATAAAGTATAAGCATAATTACATAAAAAGTATATTTTTACTATTATTAATTTTTTTAAAACATAAATTATTAATAAAAATGATTTAATCTTTCAATTTAATTAATTTATATTTATTTATTTATAGTTTAATATCTTATACTTCCTATTAACAAATAAATTTTGTTACTTTAACAATATAATATTTAGCTTAATAATGCATTTTTTTATTTTTTGGAATCATTTTATAGAATTATAAATAACAATTTAATTAAATAGAAAAAATAAAAAAATAATTATTAAATAAATAATTAACCTCTTTATCTTGATTTTTAACATTTTTTATACTTTATGCTTAATTTCATAAATTAAGTTACTTATAATTAGTATAATTAGTGCAACTATACTTAGCTCTTTTCTTAAAAAGTTATTTATATTATTAAATATTCTCAGTAATTCTAAATAACTTCTTTACTAGTATTTTCAATTTTATTGTTTATATCACAAAATTTTTGAAGAATTACATCCATTTTTGTTAAATTAATATTTTTGTATATTCTTTTAAAACTGAATTTGTCATATCTAATCTTTAAATATTAGTAATAATTATATTATAGATTTGGTCTTTTTCTTTTAAATTTTTAACTTGTTGTAAAGCTTGTTATTGCTTTATAACTTTTTTAATGAGCATTTAGATTTCTAATGATATTTATCTATTTGTTAATTTAAGTGTATTAAGATTAATAAATATAGTAATTAATCAGATAAAACTTTGATTCACAGTTACAGAAGGTAATTAATTTTTATGAATTTTGTAGTGAATAATAAGAATAAATTACAAAGTTATTTATAAAAAATTTCAAGTTTATTATCTTTTATATAATATAATTATAAAAGAATAAATTTACTGATTATCTTATTATTTCATTTGAAAGTCTATATATATTGGATATCTTGCTTCATTTAATCATAAATATTCTATATTATTTGCTGTTTTATTTATTAAAGGTCATCAAAAGTTTATGTAATAGAATTTTGATATTATTATGAGAATAAATTATTTGTTAAATTATTAAAAGAATAGAAATGAGTAATTAGAATAAAATTTACAAAAGTTAGTTTAATTCTCTTTTTGAACCATCATAAAATTTAATTAAAAAATAAGAGAGTAATAGAAAATTTTTAAGCATTGATCATCATATTTATTTTATTTATTTGTGATATTTGAGCATTACTTTAATTATTAATCAATCATATTAAAAGATGTATTTGAAAACAGCCTAAATCTGACTGATTTTCATTACAAATTAAATAATAATTTTGATTATTTATCAACACAAGTATAATAATATAAAAATACTTCTTAATTAATATAATATGTAAGTTTAATATTTAAAAGATTGTCATCTTATTGATGTTGAGACTAAAAGAAATATTTATACATATTGAATAATTAATAAAATAACTAAACTAAATATATTTAAAGAAATAAAATTATTATTTCACTAGGTAATAAAGTTGTCATATTAATAAATTACCAGATCTATAGGTAACTAAATAGATATTTATGTTCTATGTAATTATCAAAAGCAATAAAATTGACATCTAAGGATTTACATAATGATCAAATAGCAATAAAATAAATAAAATGAGATTCTTAAAGATCTACATAGCAATAAAATTGACTTTTTATTCTACCAATTTTAAATCTATCTAAAATTTTACCTGTCAAACTGTAAATTCTCATCTGTAATTTCTTGAGTAATTATTTTAGTTTTATTTATCCTTTGAGATTTTTATTGAAACTTTAAAATCATTATAATAGCATATTAAATATTAAATAAATAAATGCATATTATTTAAAGTTATATTTGCAAATTTAGTAATATGTTTTTTAACTTTTAAAATTAAATATAATTTTAAATTTATTTTATATTATATCATTTATTTGAATTGTATTATCAATTTATAAATCTATACTAAAAAATGAATATTATATTACCTAAACAAAAGTATAAATCTCTTCTTCTGAAGCTGATTTTAAAACTTTCAATCTTTTTTTATTAATTTTAAGATGCATTATACTGCTAATTTTCATATTATAAAGCTACATCTTATAATCTAAGGTTTAATACTGATATTACTTTTTCAGTTAAATTAGTTTAAAAATAATATAATGCTATTTGTAATATCCTAAATAATCAAAATCCTCTTAAGTATATTAATGTAACAAAAAGATGTAATAATGATTAGGACTATCATTAGTAAATGTCAAATCATTTCTAATAAATTGTTATTTTCTTTTTATATAAATATAAATTATTTATAAGAATGTCTAAGAGTAAATCTATATAAAAAACATAAACTTGACAATGATAAAAATTTTTATTAATATTAGTAAATATATTAATTAATAAAGAAATAAATAGAGTTAAAATAACTTATTAAATCATAATCATAAATACTTAATTCTACACCTACTGCACTAAGTATTAAATGATTTCTGATATCAATAGATATTGCTATATGCTTACAAATTCCAATTTTATATTTATCATCAGCAGAAATTAAGCAAAGCTATAGATAAAATATACTTGAACAATATTATAGCATTCATATTTTTAATATGTAATACTATGTATAATGTGAATTAGGATGAAATTTTCATAAAAGTCAGCTTTAAACTTTATATTTAATAATAAATCTTCTTAAATACTATATAGCGACCTTAAAATAAGGATTTTAGCCATTAAAGTTTTGTTAAAAAAATTTAAAAATTCAATAATACTTGCTGAATTAAAATATAATTCCATCTTTATTAAAAAGAAGTCAAATTTAATATCATGAAAATCTTCATTCACCTGTAAATTAATATTATGCTTAACGTTAAATAATAATAACATAATACTGTATCTAAAATACAATGATTGGTATAATTTAGCCCAAATCTTTGAAGTTTAAATCATTAATGTTTATAATTTATATATGAATGTTCAAAAAGATGACTCAAATCTAACTTTTTTTGTTATTTAAAATTTTATTGTGATACTTTTATATTATCGTTATATGCTAAATAACCTAAAATATCAAGTATAATAATTAGTATATTTGGCCAAGCATTTGTGACTTTGCCCAAATCTTTGAAGACTAAATTATTAATATTTGTAATAATATATAGATATGATTTATATATGAAATATTCAAAAAAGTTGACTCAAAGCTAACTTTTATGTTATTTTAAATTTTATTGTGATACTTTTATATTATATTCTACATGACCTAAAATATCATATATTATGGTCGGCATAGTTTGGCCATGAATTTTTGACTTTGCCCAAATCTTTGAAATATAAGAAAATTAATTTATTATATAATTTACTTAATTAATTATTTCAGCCCTAAGCTAACTTATTTATAACGCCTATTCTTTGAATTAATGTTTTGAAATCATATTTTTACATAATTTATAATTTAAAATTTATTGATTTGTAGAGTTCGCCCGACTATATGCCCCGAAGCTTTTAATTCAGGATTGGCTGATTTTATATGATTGACAAATGATCGACATGGTGATATAAGCAAGTCCGCTATTCTGCCGCAGTCAGACACTTGACCGAGATGGGGTGCATCCAAAACCGCGTGTGGCATTCGAGCCAAATATTGTCATAATACTAATTACCATCACAATTGGCCATAGTGATGTTGTTGAAATGGTGCTTTGCGGAGCCATGCCAGTCTTCCCAGACTTTGACTGACTCAGATTTATACTGATTTCTTTTGTATCATTTTTTATCTATCTAAAGTTGTAGATGAGTGAAGCTAGTACATCAGACAATCGTGTATAGATATCGGAATTGAGGCTGAGGGTGACGACTATCTTGAAAAAGCAAGTACGTCATGTGAATACATTGTAATTAATTGTAATTAAGCAAATGACGATTTGGAGGTACCAAGGTTCATACATCATCACAAACAAAAAAGGAAATGCAATATCCAAGAGTGTAATGTGAAATCACTCAGTATAAATAGATCATTATTGCAAGATGCTTACAGACTTGCAGTCACAGCACAACGAAGAGGATTCGTAACGCACCTGTCACTATTTCGAAATGTTGAGGTGGTCCATAGTCAATTTGGAAATTGTTGATGAAGCTGATATACAAAAACGAGCAACGTTCAATACCACAAGTTGCGCGCAAGATTTTGTCTGTCTTTTTGAAGAGCAACCTGATGATGAGCTTCGATCATAGTTTGGATATTGCAATCGCCTAAAAAGAAAGGCCGATTATACGTCCATGATCGCAATATCATGGTTACATTCTTCCGTCAGGTATTTTGAAATCGCCCAAAAAGTTCTTCTTATTTATAGACGTTTTAACTGCATCATCCGCAATCACAGCAGTTATTTCGTACAGAGCCACATCATCGCGCGGTCTTGGTAGCAATCCGTTTGAAAATAACGTTAATCTGTACTGTGGTTGAGAAATTTTTCTATAGCGTTTAAGCTTCATCATTTGAAATTCCTTCCAATTTTGGAACTACAGCATCTAATTCCGGGTAATACTGGACAAGGCTCAACAAGATCAGATTTCGCCTCAATAATTGTTAAATAATAATGACAATTCGCGATTTTCATATTGGAATTCGAACAAGCCGGCTTTGAATCCACAAGGATGAAGTCGTTGTTGTAGCAAGTTGGCATACGAATATGATCGTATACTTTCTCAGATGCATTGTCCAACGGAAATGAAACTAGTTTGCATTATGGTCTGGTGAATAAAAAGTTCGTTTGGAAGGTTACAGCCAATTTACAATCAAGAAGGATTGAGGCTCATCTTTGCTTATGAAGATGAGATAAACTCATTCAATTTTCAAAAAATAATGTTGAGACAAAAGTGGAAAATTTATTGCGCTTAATAACGTATCTACGCGGATGAGATGCGTATCAGATCGTTATGAATAGGCATCCATTACTATTTAGCTATAGTTTAAAGGCAACACTACCAGAATTACCAAAAGAGACGATTCAATCTCTAAGGTTTGAAACGAAGTTTACTCCAGTCTCCAAGGAGGGTAAGATAGTGCAATTATGAAGGTGAGTTATCTTTTTCACATGTTATCATTTATTGACTTATGAATTGTGATAATAGCAACTGTTTTTATAGAGAAATTGTTAAATTTATTTTGAGTATGAAAATATATAAGATTCTAAATTGAAAGTTTAGCTAATTTTAACTATATCAATAATGTAATAGTTCCTTTATCCATTTATAATATCTTTCTCTCGAGTTATATTTATGTATGAGATAGCGATAGGTACTGTACATGACGTGAAAATCAAAAAATCAAATCGATTTTACGCTAAAAATGAAAAAGAATGTAGCACAATCGATTCTGTCAATTCTAGGCGTTTAATTATTAGATCTTCGAAATTCAAAAAAAAAAAAATTTCGCGCGATATATTTTCTCAAATTTTCAAAATTATAATTAATGATATTTAATATATTCAAAACCAATCGCCACCCCCAGAAGATCTTTATTTTAATTTTTTTTTAAAAAAAAAAATTACTTATGGGACTTACAAATGGCCACTTGAAAAAAAAATTGTTAAAAATTTCGTTACGAATTTTCGAATTAAACGAGTTTCAGAGAAAAAGGATGTATTGACTTTTGCTTTTAATTTTACCTTTTTTTTTTTTATTTTAACTCGATATAAAAATTCTGAGGAATTACAAAATTTTTATTATTAAACAATGATGACGACTGTTTGGTCAATTAATGATATCTTTTATTAAGTCATAAATAAAAAAAAAAAATAAATTTTCACACAGGTTAGATTCATAACGCCAATAATGACCCCTATCTATTCCTATACCATTCTGATACATTCTGATAGCAATAATCCCAAAGAATATTGTGCGCCAGTGTTTCCTGCAGAAATTTTAAACTATTCAAATGCACTTTTTATTATTTACCATTTATAATTGCGAGGTACTCAAAACTTTTGGTCTACAAATTCCAGAAGAAACTACTTTAACGTCATTTATTTTTATCAATAATATATATTGTGAGGAATTTTATTTACTTGGGTTACAATTTGTGTGCACATGTCCCTCTATTTGTATGGGTAAAAATATTCTTATACCTTTTACCATAATTTAATTCATCGCTACTGTTATAAAAATAAAAGAAATAAAGAAATATATAATTTATAAAATTGTTTATTTACAACTTTAAAAGGTAAATGCTTTTTCATAACCTATTGCAGAGAATTGAATTGTTAGAGCTACATCAACAAAAAAATATCACGTTTACTAGAGTGTCTAAACTAAATTAACTTTTGATTGTTTTTCTTCTTTCATAAAAAATTTTTAATCGAAAATTTATTATTATTAAACTAAAAAAAGGGTAACCCGTTCCGCAGAAACCCCCTTTGCCGAAGCCAATTCACCGAAAGGACATTTTGCCGAACGGCCACTTCGCCGAATGTCCATTTTGCCGAATGGACATTTCACCGAAAGAAGTTTCGCCGAATGAACATTTCACCGAGAGGACGCTTCGCCGAAATGACGTTTTGCCGAATCCGTTTTGCCGAATGGACACTTCACCGAATCCGTTTCACCGAAAAGACATTTCGCCGAAAACGAAAATAATTCGCTGTTGGTTGTTAGCAATTTGCCAGATTTATTGAACTTTTTTTATTATTTCCAACGAAATTTTTAAGAAAAACTTACTTTTTAATGTAGAATCTAAAAATGGTAAGTTAAATAAATGTTAAGTAGTAGTCATTTTCGGCGAAATGTCCTTTCGGTGTAACGGATTCGGAGAAGTGTCCATTCGGCAAAAAGGATTCGGAAAATCGTCATTTCGGCGAAAACGTCTTTCGGTGAAAAGTCCATTCGGCGAAGTGGGTTTCGGTGAAACGGATTCGGCGAAACGTCCGGATACCAAAAAAAAGTCATCTGCGTAAAGAATTAACCTACATGAGAAAGCTTAATTTTTGTTCTTGTTTTCATTTAAAACTATATACAAAACCAATTATTTAAAAATATAATATAATAATAGATTCACAACGGAGGAGAGTTCAAAGTCCATTTTCAAACCAATTATATTTTGAAATTGCTTATATTTTTGATATATTATGTTTGTGATAAACATAAAAACTACTACAGTTGTGGTTCTATTTTTTTTTTTTTTATATTTATTTTATTTTAAGTACACCAATCATTATTACAAAATTCAAATTTAGAGAAAGTACAAAAACTTCTATCTACTTTAAAGAGTTAAAAATTAATTTAATTTAAATATGCTCAACCATCCAGCTACAGTTGTGGTTCTATTATAAGCCTTAAACAAAAGCACACATTTATTCTTTTCTTTTTCTACCCTTTCCTTTTTATATAAACAATTGCTACAAAATAGACGCTAACTATTCACGCCGCAATTAATAGATCAAAAGCGATGGAATCTGAAAAAAATTTTCGAATTTTTTTATAAATATAAAAATAAAAATAAGGAAACATTTACTTATAACTAACTAACGCAAGCCAAAGCTGAAAGAGAAGGAAAATCCTAATAAGAAATTATAAAACAAAATAAAAAAAAAAAAAAAAATTCAAAATAAATAAAATTAAATAAAAAAAAAAAAAAATTGTACGACTAAAAAAAATAAATTATAAAGAAACCGAAAAAAAAAGTTAATCAATGCAACGATATACTAAAGTTTTTTTTTAAAAAAAAAAAAAAAGAAAAAAATCCGTTGCGGTTCGAAGCTCGAAGCGAACGTTAACTCAAAAATTTTTAAAAGTTTCCTTATAAATAGGAATCGGATTTTCAAAGGTTTAATAATTAAAATGATCGAAAGAATTCTAATTTGTAAAATTTTAGTTTGATAAATCAAAAAATCATATGATTAGTTTAAGAGCGTGTTTTCTCCGTCATTTATATATAATTCAACGAAAATAAATATATTTCTTGAAATTGTTTTTGAATTAACAATAAGTTTATTAAAATATTTATATTATGTACATAGAAGAATTTACAAGATAAGAAAATTTAAGTAATGAGTTATCGTAAAATAATTTCTTTTTCAATCTTATATTTTCAATCTTATATTTTCATCCTTTAAACCAACGTTCATCAAAAATGAATTAATCACTCAAAATCCGGAATACGAAAGACCAAATCTGGATATTTGTTCTTTTGAACTTCATCGATGTAGTCCCTCACTTTAGTGTGAATGCAAAAATAATCAACAATCTCATATACAAAATCGTCTATCATTTGCTCCTCTGCAAACTCTTTCAAGACGTCAAAAGCGACATCGACATCTTCGTAATGACAATTCCTAATTAATAATTTTTTCAAATTGATATCTTGCACTTCATCAAGAAAGTTTCTCATGAAGATCGGATCGATTGAAAGGAACAAGTTCAAATATTTCAATGAACTCGAGTGATTTGATAACACGGGACCCAACTCGTCCAGAAGTTTTGAACTGATAAATATACAAGGTATATTTAATGCAAATAAAATTTTAAGGGAAAGGTATTCGAGATGCGCGCCGATGCTAGTGATCAACTCACATACTTGAGGGATATCATAAGTATCAATACTAGATATTTGAAGGAATCTGACCTTTGTACAGTACTTGATAACACTCTCTAAAGCATTACTTTCATCGTGGGTAAATAATTTGATGACCAAATTCTCTACATGAGGACCAATCTTTTGTAATAATGAGGAATATTCCGTGAGTTCGCCAATTAATCTCAAGGATCTAACTTTTAATGAAGTGGGGTTATCAATTAACGGTTGAAACATTTGATTCTTTAATCCATCAC